CTGCCCTGACTCACTGCGGGACATTGGACCGAGGGCCCTTCACCTCGGAGGACTTCAGTCTCTCGTCTATAAAGGGACGAGACAGTTCCTGCGGGGTCTGCCAGCAACCTGGGGGCCCCAGTTACCTCTCAGTCAAGATGAAGTCCCCGTCCTTCAAGACTGGCACCTTCTGCAGGGGGTTCACGTGGGCAAAGGTGTCGCTGAGGTGCTGGCCTGCGGGAAGCCCGGCGTGGTGGGTGGTGGGGAGGAAAATGCCCGCCCTGCCTGCCTGTGCCCACCCGCTGTACCCGCCCCCTCAAAAGGCCCCAACCACAATTTCATGGCTCCTCTCCAGCCCCTGGCTGCTCCTGGTGAGGGAAAGACTGGCAGGGGCTGCTGTGGGAAAAGTGGGAAGTTCTGCCAGCTGGTGCAAAAGAGAGCTCGCCACCCCTTGCCAAGTTCTTGTGGGCATAATTCCCCCCCAGGAGTCCCCCTAAAACAGAGCTTAAGGAGCTCCATCCAGGGCGGGGCCTGTCCTTGCCCGGGCCCGCAGACTCCCACCCTCTGCCTTTTCATCATCACCAGCGTCACTGGCTCCCACATGGGGTATGGGGGTGTCCCAGCTGCAGGGATTGGGACACTGGTCCCCTGAGGGGACTCTGGCTTCCTTCAGTGCCCCTTTCCCTGTGGACCCTAAGGATAGGTCCCCAAACACAGACAAGTGGCCTCTTCCTAGCGTCCACTTGAAAAGTGAAAGTGAAAGTAGTTTAGTGGTGTCTGACTCTTTGTGATCCCATGGACTACACAGTCTATGGAATTCTCCAGGCCAGAATACTGGAGTGGGTAGCCTTTCCCTTCTCCAGGGGATTTTCCCAACCCCGGGTTCGAACCCAGGTCTCCTGCATTGCAGGCAGATTCTTTACCAACTGAGCTATGAGGGGGTGTCCACTTACTTGCAGCCAACCTCCCCTGGACCCTCTGTGTCCCCTTGCTCACTCCGCCCTTGGCACCGGGAACAGAGCTGGCCCCATCCTTAGGGTCCCACTGCAGCTCCCCGGAAAGGTGCAGCCCAGAGTCCCCTGGGACCCTGACCTCTGCTTGAGCTCAAGTGAGTGTTTTCTGCCTCCTCAGATGCAGCCAGAGAAACTTCTGGGGGGCACGTGTCATCACTGCTGCCCCTGCTCAACAGCTTTCAGGGGCTCCCAGAGCAGGAGCCCCTGAAAGCTGTTGGGCAGGGGAGCTGTTTGCCCCAGGAGCAGGCAAAGCTGCTCAAAGCCACCCGTGTCCACCACGGCCTCACCCCTCCAGCCTCTCTCCTCCCTTCAGACTGTCCCTTCACCAGGACCCTCCCCTCCTCTCCTGGCGAAACACACGTCCTACAGCACTCTCTGTGGGACAGCCTGGCTGGGACACCCCTTTGTCTCCACTCCCTCTCCCGTCCCCCACACTCTGCAGAGGTGACTGCTGAGCAGCCTGGGGCAAGTGCCCCGAGGAGGGTGGAAGAGATGGCGACTCAGGCCTCGGGAAGGCTGGCACAGAGGCAGCACGGCGAGCCTCGGCGAGCTGGGGGCGCTGGGCGGAAGGCTCAGCCCTGCCGAGTTGCCTGACTTGTTCTGTGCACCCCCTACATTCCCTGCCCCCCCCCGCACCCCCCCACTAGCAACGCAGGAGCTCTGCCCTCCCCCCAGCTGCCCTGGCATGCCAGCTGTGCCCTTGGGACTCTGGGGACCAGCCAGGGAAAGTGCAAACCCTGGTCCTCTGTGTGCAGGGCTCACCAACCCCCCCACCCGCCCACAGCCCTCCTCCTGCTCTCCGCATCCCCAGCGCCAGGTGCCGCCTCCTGAGAACAGATAAGACAGGGGTCAAGGCAAGTGCATGCAGAGCAGGGGTAGTCAGGGTGCCCAGGGCGGCGGGGGCCAGAGCATCAGCAGCTGGGGCCACAGTGGAGGGACTCACTCTGTCCCACCCCCCAAGCGGCCCCCTAAATCCCTCTCCTCCCGCCCCCACCTCTTCGCCCAGTCCCTGTCCCTATGCCCACTGGCACCCCCTGTTCGCCAAGTCCCTCCATGCCTCATGCACCCCCCGGCTCTTTTACTCTGCTTCAACTGAGCTTCCCTGCCCCCCACCCCCGCCGCCACCTCGGTGTCCATTCCAGGGACCCAGCCAAGTATGGGGATCCCCAAATCTCCGATCTCCCTGGTGGCTGGACGCAGGACAGCTGAGGCTCGGGGAGGGGCTCCCCTGAGCAGTGTTTGACCTCCCCTTCACCTCCCCCCACCTCTGGGTCCCCCAAACCCCGGCCGGGAGTCCACCTTTGCGCAGGTCCACGGTGCGCAGCTCGAAGGGGATGCGGTTCTTCTTGGCGAAGATGTAGATGGCGCGGCAGGGCTGGGACAGCAGGTCCAGGTAGAGTTCCAGGCCCATGGCGGGGGCGGACCGGCCTCTCCACGCAGGGGACACGGGACTCAGCGAGCCCCAGGCAGCGACCGACGGAGCAGCGCTCGGCCCGCCCCCCACGCGCCGCTCCCCGTAGGCGCTCAGGCCGCACGCTCCGGTCCAATCGCCGGCGCCCAGCGAATCTGCGGGGCGGGGGCTCCGGAAGGTCCCGCTGGGGAAGGCGGGCAGGTCCCACCCAGGTTCGTCTCACCGAGCAGAACATCGTCAAGGCTCATCCCGGCTGCGGCGTGTGTCAGAAGTTACTGCTTCAGGGATGAAGAAATCGAGGCCGAGAGGGATCACGGGTCCAGCAAGTCTGACTCCAGCATCCACTATCTTGGCCTCAAGCTGCAGAGACGCCGGCGCCACCAAGAGGCAAGTTCAGTTCAGTTCAGTCGCTCAGTCGTGTCCGACTCTTTGCGACCCCATAGACTGCAGTACACCAGGCCTCCCTGTCCATCACCAACTCCCGGAGTTTACTCAAACTCATGTCCATCAAGTCGGTGATGCCATCCAACCATCTCGTTCTCTGTCATCCCCTTCTCCTCCTGCCTTCAGTCGTTCTCAGTATCAGGGTCTTCCAAGGAGTCAGTTCTTCGCATCAGGTGGCCAAAATATTGGAGTTTCAGCTTCAGCATCAGTCCTTCCAATGAACATCCAGGACTGATATGACCAAGAGGCAAAGCCTCAGACTTTCGGGCAGTGCTCACTCCCTTGCCCGAGTGCACCCCTGGAATTTGACAGCAGGTCTTCCTGCTCCCAGCACAGTGCCTCCGTCTCATTCCCTTGGTGTGTTTCTTCCCTCCTCTGGGTCTCTGTTTCTCCATCTTTGAAAATGATGGGAAAGATCCAGCAAGCCCGCTTCTGGGCATACATCCAAAGAAAATGAAAAACAGGATCTCCAAGAGACAGATATCTCCAACCCCATGTTCACTGCAGCCAAGATAGGGTAACAACCTAAGTGTAAACAACCTAAGTGCCTGATCTTACTTGTGTGGAATCTTAAAAAGTGGGACTCTTACAAGCAGGGATTGGAGCCGTGGTTACCAGGGGCTGGGGTGAGAGGGGGAATGGCAACACACTGGTTAGAGAGTAGAAAGCTTTGAGCACCCAAGATAAGTAAGTTATGGAGATCTAATGCACAGCGTGGTGACTATAGTTAACAGGACTTCGTAGTACATGTGCAATTTGCTGAATAGTTCTTAATTTTTCTTACCAGGAACATAAAAAAAATGGTAACTGTCTACTGAAAAAAAAAAAAAAGCACAACCTGAATGCTGTGAGTGAAGTTTGATCCAGGGTCTTGCGGAGAACAGTAGCCTTTTCAAAAATCCAATTTTTTTTGATTCGCTGATCTCTGTTATTTTTCTATCCTCTGTCTCCACTCAAATCTTTATTTCTTTTCTCCTGTTGGCTGTAGGTTTAGTTTGCCTCTCTTTTTCTACTTCCTCCAGGTGTAAGTTAGGTTGTTGGTTTGAGATCTGTATGCTGCTGCTGCTGCTGCTAAGTCGCTTCAGTCGTGTCTGACTCTGTGCGACCCCATAGACGGCAGCCCACCAGGCCCCTCTGTCCCTGGGATTCTCCAGGCAAGAATAGTGGAGTGGGTTCCCATTTCCTTCTCCAATGCATGAAAGTGAAAAGTGAAAGTGAAGTCGCTCGGTTGTGTCCGACTCTTAGCGACCCCATGGACTGCAGCCTACCAGGCTCCGTCCAAGGGATTTTCCAGGCAAGAGTACTGGAGTGGGTGAGATCTGTATGCGTTCACAGCTATAAAATGGCCTCTTAACCCTGTTTCTGCTGCTTCCCATAAGTTTGGGTCTGTTGTGTTTTTAATTTTTTAAGGTGCTTTCTAATTTCCCTTGTGATTTCTTCTTTGATTCATAGGTTTTTTAAAATGCATTTTAAAAAATATTTCATTTCCTAGCTTTCCTTCTGTTATTGATTTCTCATTGCATTCCACTGTGTTCAGAGAACATACATCATTTGATTTCAATCAGTTTAAATTTTGGGGGATTTATTTTATGACCTCACCCAGGGTCTATCCTGGACAATACTGCATGTGCCATTTAGAAGATCATGTATTCTGTGTTGTGGGTGCTGTGCTGTGTGTAGCCGGCAGGCCGATGGGTTTATTTTTTAAAAACTATCTATCTTTATTTATTTATTTGGCTGCGGCAAAATAAATATTTATTGCTTAGTTGCAGCAAGTGGGATCTTCAGTCTTCATTGTGGCAGGTGGAGTCTTTCGTCTGGGTGAGCAAACTCTTAGTTGTGGCACGTGGGATATAGTTCCCTGACCAGGGATTGAACCTCAGTTCCCTGTATCGGGAGCATGGAGTCTTAGCCACTGGGCCACCAGGGAAGTTCCCCGATAATGTTAGAATGTGGTTCAAACCTCCATTTCTCGGGGGAATCTCCGATCTCGTTATTCTATCCATTAGTGAAAGTGAAGCACTAAAGTCATCAGCTGTCACACTGACAGTTTAATCATGTGTGACCTTTAATTTTCCAGTTCTTTTCGGAATCTGGGGGGACTCACGACTGCCTCCCAGCCCCAGGCACATCTCGGGCTCAGGAGCCACGGGAGTAGTTTCGGTTCTTTATTAGGCAAAGCAGCAGTGAATCTCAGCGCCTCCCTTAAGGAGGGGTCCTGGGGGCTGAGCGGCCAGGCTCTCGGGGTGGGCACCTCTACTTGAACTTCTGCAGCAAATCGCAGATCCTCTCCTTGACCACTGGGTCCAGCGTGGAGCAGTCCCATTCTGCCAACTTCACCAGCCGGTCGTGGGCCTCGCAGAAGAGGCTAGAGCCGATGGCCAGCTCCACCCTCATGCGCCACTCGGCCAGCTTGGCACTGTTGAGGAAGACGTTATGGTTGCCGGCTGTGGGCTGTGGACAGACGGAGAGGAAGGCATGGTCAGCCTGTGGACCAGCCCCAGATGGGCCCCGCCTACAGGCAGAAGACTCTCCCAGTTTGCCCCTGTGGCCAGTGAGCCTGCTGACCCCCGAGGCCTGGCCAGGGCTCACGGGTCATGTAACAGATGGAGGTGGGGGTGGAGAACCCCGAGTGGCTCTCTCGTTGCTGGTCTTGCTCCACGCTCCTGAGTCCCTCTCTGAGGGGCCCGTGACCCCTCAGAAGTGGGGTTCCCACTTCTCCAGTGTGAAACCTGCCGGGGGTCTTGCCTTCTTCCATGGAAATCCCTTGCCCCCAGACAGAGGTGGGAGGAATTCAGTTATTTCTCCCTGTGTTGAACCTCCCTCTGGGATCAAGCAGAGGAACTGCGATGAGAGACCCAGCCAGCATCCTAAGAAACATGAACCCAAGATGTCTGGGGTGCGTGTGGGGAAAGTTTAAGGGGTGTGGGGTGAAACTCAGGGGACCGCACCACCTGGGACAGGAAGACTGGGACTTTTCCTCTCCCTGTGCTGGCCTATGCTGCACGCTGACCAAGGACGAAAGTGGCCACTTTGCGCACTGGCCAGGGCCTCAACTCCATCTTGCACACCAGCTCGGTCAGAAGTGGCCACCCTCCCCTGCACGAGAGGCTGCATGAATGTGCCCCACCCAGAAATGTGCCCCCATGCAGAGCAGATGGCCCCTTAGGCCCGAAGCCAGGGGGCGGCCCTGTCCAGCTGCCCTGACTGGAGCTCTGGAAAAGAGGGGCACTTTGGTCAGAAGGACACTTTGGAAGCCTCTGGACTCTTCCTGGAGAGTCCTTTGGGGGGAGGAGGCACTGGGGTCACAGCTGACTGAGCAGGCTCACCCTCCAGCTCCCTTCCCCACGGAGGACTCTTCTTGAAGCACTAACGACCACGGTCCTCCCTGGTTCAAAACCTGGGCTTCCTGTGGTTCCCCCTGGGTCAAGGCCGGGCACCCAGGCGTGGCTCCCCCTTCCCCAGCCTCTCTGCAAATTATGGTCACAGGGGAGTCCCTCATCTGCTCCGTCCACCCACCACCCCACTGCAAACCTGCATCATCTCCACCAGGGCTACCAGGTCGGCCAGGGAGATGTTGTCCCCAGTGATGAACATCTTGTCCTGCAGAAACTTTTCCTCGAAGAGCTTCAGGTTGTTCTTCACCTCCGCCAGCATCTGCTCCGTCTTCTCAGCTGGGACCTCATCACCCGTGATCATTGGGATCAGCAGCTGCCCGGGATGGGGGAGGGGAGGGAGAGGAGGCCCCATCTGACCCTTCAGGCCTCTGGAGGCCCCATCTGACCCTTGTCTGCTAAGAGAGGTGGTGGACAGTACCAAGGATGTAAAGTGGTATCGCCTCCGCTGGCAGTTCCAGTGGGTAGAAGTCGCCTGGGGCCCTTGTTCAGAAGGATGTGAGGGACTTCCCTGGTGCTCCAGCGGCTAAGACACTGAGCTCCCAACGAAGAGAGGGCCCAGATTCCATCCAGGGTCAAGGAACTAGATCCCACATGCCACAACTTAAGAGTTCCACAACTAAAGATCCCCACGCTGCCACAAAAATCGAAGATCTCGTGTGCTCCAACTAAGACCCAGCACAGCTCCAAAAGATTAATTAATAAAAGATATTTTTTTAAAAAAGGACTTGAGGTCCCAGCAGGAAAGAATCCTGTGATTTATTAGTGATGTCTGCCACAGGTGTAGGATAAGTAGGGGCACATGGACTGTTTATTTGTCATCTTCAAATATGACGGTCTTTATGGGCCCTTTCACTTTTTTTCCTCCCACTGCACAGCTCACAGCTTGCAGGATCTTAGTTCCCCAACCAGGGTGGGGATGCTTGCCTGAGCCCCAGCCGTGGGCCCCTCACCTTCATCCAGAGTATCTTATTCATGGGCAGCTGAATGGCCGTGTGCTGCCAGGCCATGAACTCGTCCACACGGGCGCGCATGTGCAGGTCTGGCGGGTACCAGTGCGAGGGGGCGCTGTACTTGCGGCACAGGTAGAAAAGGATGGCCACGCTGCGAAGAGGACGGTCAGGGCACTCCCCAGGCCTCCCCAGGCCTTGCTCACTCGCCACCCGGTGCAGCAGGGCCCAAAACACCGTCTCCAGCCACAGGCCGGCTCTAGGCCCCCGGCATTCCTCCTGGAGGAGGGTGAGCCCAGAGGCCCCGAAAGGCAGTCAGTTCACCCCCATCAGCAAGGGCCCTATGGGGAAAGAGGGTGTTGGTGGGTGGCCTCAGACAGGGCAGAGCACGTGGGGAAATCTTAGGAGGTCATTCCGAAACATTTGCAGGTGAAGGAGGGGGTGGCCAGGAGGCAGGAGAACTGAGAGAGGGTACGGGCGATGCACAGTGAGCCCAAGTGGACCACCGACGGCGCTGGGGGTGGGGACTGGGTTCATTCCGCCCCTGGCGGCAGGGGAACTGAGCGAGGGTACGGGCAACGCACAGTGAGCCCAAGTGGACCACCGATGGCGCTGGGGGTGGGGACTGGGTTCATTCCGCCCCTGGTCGTCTGGCATTTGTTCTGCTTTGGTGTGTGTGCGAACTTCTCTGTAGTAAAAAGAAAGCAAGCGATCAGCAGCAGGTGGGCCGAGTGGGACTCTCTCCTAGGAGGAGCGGAGACGCAGGGTTAGAGGGCCGGGAAGATGGTTACCTTTCAGACAAGATGAATTTCCCATCTCTGAGGCTGGGCAGCTTCCTCAGGGGGTTGATCTCGATGTACTCCCTGCTGTGGTGTTGACCTGAGAGGGGCAGGAAGCGCTGAGGCTGCTGAGACCCCAGGGATGAGAGACCGGGGCCTCCCCGAGACAGAAACAACGCCTCTCGATGCATCTTCCCAAGAAGGGGACGCTGCGCCCCAGAGGAGAATCACGCCCCCCACCCAGGTGAGGAGGCACATCAGGGAGCCTAACAGGGACCAGGCTGGCACGCTGCCGCCCTCCCAGGCCAAACGGCCAGGGCAACCCTTTGGCTCCAGGAAGCTGGAGGCCTGCAGCCCTCACCCCCAACTCTGGGCCCAAAGCCACAGCCTGTGAATCAACAGAAGCCATGGGGGACTGGATCCCAGCCCCAGGCCTCCCGCCCCCTCCAGGCTCTGCAAGAGGAGATTCTCCCACCTCTGTAGTCGGGGCCATGACCTTCACCTGGGCCCCGAGGAGTCACCCTGGGCAGGTCTGAACACTTGGCCAGGGTCGGGGTGGGCAGACAGGTATGGATGGAGGTGAATGAGGAATATGAGCACTTGCTCCTGTGACCTCGGCCGCCATGATCGGCAGCTGCAGGGCAGCGGAGAAGGCAGGGGTGCTGGGTGGGAGCCCAGGGACCCCTCTTGCTCCCACTGCCCGCCCCCCGCCCGCGTTCATCACAGTGAGGAAGAATCCGCGGGGAATGGCAGAGGCGGGCCGGTCAGACACAGAGCGGACAACTGCTCCCACCAGGAAGCTTTTCTTCCCCTTGTGCACTTGGGTGGGGCATGGCGTGGCATGGTGGTGTGGCGTGGCATGGTGTGGGCATGGCGTGGTGTAGCGTGGGCGCATGGGTGGTGTGGGCATGTGTGGCGGGGCGGGGCGTGGGCACGTGGGGGGCAGGTCTCCTCTGCCTCCGCTTCTGTGAACCCCGCGCCCGGCCCACCCGGCCAGCTGCAGGTGCCCACCTTTCAGCAGATCCACAAACTGGAAGTCGAAGGGGATGCCATTCTTCCTGGCGAAGATGTAGACAGCGCGGCAGGACGCAGACAGCAGGTCCAGGTAGAGTTCCAGGCCCATGCTGGGCCCCACTATGGCCGGCAGATGCCCAGCTGCACGCAGCCCACCGCAGCCTGTGCCCTGGCCCTGTGCTCACCCACCCAGGCCCGGCCCCCCACATTCTGGAACTTCTTGTTCTCTTGGTGTTGCCATGAGGACTGGAAGCCTGGAATGTGCTCATGCGGGAAGGACTGTGAGGACACTGGCATTGGCCCTTCCACTCCCTGGGGGCACAAGTGTGTGTGCCCTGGCCAGTGTCGGAGAGGGGCTTCCATGCGGGAACTCCCGGGGCCAGGCCTTCACGGCAGAAAGTGACCAAAGGGGCGTTACAGGGTCCAGAGCGAGAACTAACCCAGGGCTGCTCCAGAAGCGGTGGGAGGCGGAGGGGGGTGGTTTCTAGCCTGAACTGTGGCTAGAAATGGGTGCAGAGAAAGAAACTGGAAACTGGGAGGTTGTCAGGGCATTGGGTGACACCACTGGGGACTTCAAGGGGTCACAGAGGAGCTCAGAAGCTCCCAGCCTGGAATGGGACCAGCCGTGCCCGAGAGCCAAGCACCTGGACTTGGCACCCGGCGGCAGAGGAGGGTCACGTGGGGGGGCCTGAGTGCTGCTGTCTCTGAGCTGCTCGATTTGGGGAGATTCCCAGACTGTTTAGAAATGGGGAGAGCCCACTGCCTAGAGCAGAGCAAGGCTAGAGATGACTGACGGGCACACAGCATGTTTACTGCGTCCTGCAAAGCGCAGGGGCAGGGCCGGCCCTCAGTGGAGCTGTTTCTTCACCTGCTGTGCCAGCTTCTGGGCCATCTGGGGGTCGTGCTGGGCTTCCTGGGCGCTGAAGCACACGCCTATGGGCCTCCTGGACGAGCTAGGGGCCCAGGGCAGCCTCCACACAGGCCCACCGCGTGGCAGGCCAGGGCCAGTCTTGGAAGAGGTCGCAGCTGAAGGCAGAGGGCTGGGAAGACAGGGCAGCTGGGGCCTGGGCTCAGCCCGTGCCCTGAGCGCCCCCCAGAGGGCAAGTGGGCAGGAGAACCTCACCTGCATCAGCTCTGTGAACGCCATCAGATCTGCCAGGGAGACCTGCCCAGAGGCCAGGAAGGGCCTGGTTGCCAGGAGCTCCTGATCGAGGTGCCCCAGAGTGGGCATCAGCTTCCCCAGCAGCTGCTCCACCTGCGCAGTGTCCATGGGCTGCCCGGAGAAGTGGGGCAGGAGACACTGAGCCAGGAAGAGAGGAGGTGGCTTATCTCGGGGCCCTGGAAGCCTCCCAGCTCTTCTCCACCCCTCCCTCGGCAGCCACTTATCAGTGAGGCCCTCTGGGGCTTTGTGTTCAGGATTCTGAGGTTTCATTCAGGCTCTGAAAAAAGCTATGCATTTCACTCCATCTCTGGCAAGTTGGATACTGAAAGGCCACAAAGATGCTGGCAATACTCTTAAATGAATGCATTGGTATTTCCGAGACTGGTGACTGGGTGGAGAGGGTTTAACCCATGCTATGGAGATGTCTAAAACTGCTAATAAGACAGAAGAATAATACACCAAGATAAAACCCAAAGGACACATAATAGTGACATTGCTGCTCCGTGTGACAAGGACATAATGAAACATCATAAATTAGTGATGTCTGCCTGGGGAAGAAGCCAGGACCCCCCTGGAGGGGTCAGTCACTCAGTCGTGTCCGACTCTTTGCGACCTCATGGACTGCAGCACGCCAGGCCTCCCTGTCCATCACCAAATCCAGGAGTTTACTCAAACTCATGTCCATTGAGTCGGTGATGCCATCCAACCGTCTCATTCCCTGTTGTCCCCTTCTCCTCCTGCCTTCAGTCTTTCCCAACATCAGGGTCTTTTCCAATGAGTTGGTTCTTCGCATGGGGTGGCCAAAATATTGGAGTTTCAGCTTCAGCATCAGTCCTTCCAATGAACACCCAGGACTGATCTCCTTTAGGATGGACTGGTTGGACCTCCTTGCAGTCCAAGGTACTCTCAAGAGTCTTCTCCAACACCACAGTTCAAAAGCATCAATTCTTTGGTGCTCAGCTTTCTTTATAGTCCACCTCTCACGTCGATCCATGACTACTGGAAAAACCACAACCTTAACTAGACGGGCCTTTGTTGGCAAAGTAATGTTTCTCCTTATTAATATGCTGTCTAGGTTGGTCATAACTTTTCTTCCAAGGAGCAAGCGTCTTTTAAAATTTCACGGCTGCAATCACCATTTACAGTGATTTTGGAGCCCCCAAAAATAGCGCCTGCCCAAGCCTGCAGGATACAGCAGGGAGGCTCACCTTGCACAGGTGGGTGTTGGCGGCGGGCTGCTGGATGGCCGAGTGCTGCCAGGCCAGGTATTCATCCACACGGGTGCAGGCCTGCAGTTCGGGCGGGTACCAGTGTGCCTCCGTCTGGTACTTGCGGCTCAGGTATAAAAGGATGGCCACACTGAAGGCAGGGGGTGTCAGAGGTCTCCCCACCCACCTGGGGTGGGCGGCTCCATCTCTCACCAGCCCTTCAACTCCACCCCCAGAGGAGGACCTCCCCAGGGCCCCTCCCCTCCGGGTGGCATCTTCCTCCACCACTCTACTCCATTCCTGCTCTCCGGGCTCTGTTCCTCCCCCAGCTTCCAGCCTCCTCCCTGCCGTGACGGCTTCCCCCCGTGGCTCAGCCGGTCAAGAATCTGCCTGAAGTGTAGAAGACGCAGGAGATGCGAGTTCAGTCCCTGGGTTGGGAAGCTCCTCTGTAGGAGGGCATGGCAACCCACTCCAGTATTCTTGCCTGCGGAATCCCATAGACAGAGGAGCCTGGTGAGCTACAGTCCATGGGGTCGCAAAGACTGGGACCAGCCTGAAGTGACTTAGCATGCTTAGCACACTCTGCCATGACTCCAGCCTGCTCCCCGTCTCAGAGCCCAGCTCTCTGGATCAGGGGCCTTTCTCAGGCAGGTGAGCCAGACCAGCCGCACACGCCCCATTCCCTTCCCGGGCCAGTTATGCCTGGTGTTCAGGGTCTGCGGGAGGGGCTCAGGGGACCTCCACTCTTTTTTTTTTGGCCACAGAGGGGAGTAGCCTGTGGGATCTTACTTGACCGGGGATTGAACTCCAGCCCCCTACGGTGGAAGTGGGGAGTCTTAACCACTGGACCACCAGGGGAGTCCCCCACTCCTGATCGCCCTTGGGCTCCAGGCACTTGGCGCTCAGTCTCCATCCTCCGACAAGCCCTGGGAGGTGGTTACCTTATTCCCCTGTCTTACAGAAGAGAAGGCTGGGGCCCAAGGCTCAGGACCTGCCCGCGGGCAGAGAGTGAGGACGGGACTGGCATTCAGAGCGCAGTGCAGCCCAGGGTTGCCCGGCCCCTCTGACTCTGAAAGCCCATGTGGGGACATCTGGGGAGGGGCTCCCCTTAAGCCTCAGTCTTCCCTGGCTGCCTCCAGGCTGTGCAGGCGTGCCAGGCCGGCACGCCCTCCTCTCTGAAGCTCCCAGATTTAGCCCCAAAGCAGTCCCCTGGTCCAAGTCCCTGCCCTCTGAGCTGGGCTAGCTCAAAAGAGGAAGGGGCTGCTGGAAAGATTTCCAGTTTTTTGTCTGCCTCCAAGCAATGATGAGCCCGTGCTCCCCCTGGGGGAGAGGGGAGCAGAGAGAGCGCAGAGGAGGCTCAGTGCAGGGCCTGGCCCCCGGGCCCCCCTCTGTGGAGCTCACCTGGCTCTGCTCACCCCATGGTGCCAGCTCCACAGGCCTCAGCTCGAAGCGGATGCCACTCTTCTTGGTGAAAATGTAGGTGGTGTGGCAGGGGGGCAAGGACAGGTCTAGAAAGAGCTCAGCATCCGTCCCTGGGCCTCCCTCCTGCCTGCTCTCCACTCAGGTCTGATCCATGCTTCTCCCGAAGCCTACTCCCTCCACGACAGGCTGGGCAGCCAGCCAGGACACCACACCTCCTGGCCTCTGCCCGGTGAGGGGCTGGTCGCTGGCTTTTCTTTTTTTTTTTTTAAGATTTTTTGATGTGGACCATTTTTAAAGTCTTTACTGAATTTGTTACAACATTGCTTATGTCTTAGGTTTTAGTCTTTTGACCCAGAGACATGTGGGATCTTAGCTCCCAGATCAGGGGTCGAACCCGGAGGCATTGGGAGGCAGTCTTTACCACTGCCCCGCCCCCATCCTCTTCCCTGCCGTGGTCCGGCGGCTTCACCAACTTCCAGACTCAGCCTGCCTCCAGCGAGACTCTTATCCTGGAGCACACAGCACAGGACCAGAAGGAATTTCCTCTTTCTCCTTTTCTCTCTTTCTTTCTCATGTGGGGAGCCCTGGAAGACAGCCTCCCCGCCTCCCCGGCCCTGCCCTGCCCCACAACACATATAAGAAAATAAGTCACTCCACTGAAAATAGAAATGTGGGCATTTCCCGCATTTGCTGGTCCAGTGGCTAAGACTCCGAACTTCCCCTGCAGGGGACATAAGTTTGGTCTCTGGTCAGGGAACTAAGATCCCATATACCCAAGGTGCAGCCAGAAAAAAAGAAGAAAATAGAAATGTATGTAAGGCAAACTGGAGAAACTTGAAACTTGAAACCGTGGTGTGCTTGCATCTGTGCTGTTTCTGATGCTTAGGGGCCACTCCCTAGACATTTGTGTTTGGACTCACTGTTGGTTGTAAGGAGCCCTTGACTATAGAACAGGGTGAAGGCTTCGTTGTCGGGAGCCGCCGGGATGCACCCAGTCCGTGACAAGGTCATGGGACGAGAGAGGAACCTGCAAGGCAGCTCTTCCTCACATGGGGCTGCCCCGGGGGCCCAATATGTCCCCTCCGGAGCCGCCGGGACAAGAGAGGAACCTGCAAGGCAGCTCTTCACTCGAGGTTGTCCCAGGGGCCTGATATGTCCCTGTCTTCCTTCTGTCTTACTGTTGTTGGGCTATTAGTTTTTGGAAATGATAATATATAGTAATAAGGCCTCGCTGGAAAAGTCCAAGCGTTTTTGGAAATGCTTATGATTGCTCTGGCTCAGGACACGACCACAAACATAAAGTCAGAAAAGGCCACAGGTGTAGTTTGGCTGCTTGCTTA